TGTGTGTGTGTGTTGTCAGTGTTCGGTGCCCTGCGGTGTAGGCCAAAGGTCACGTGAGATGCACTGTGTCAGTAATGTGGGTGATATCGTGGCTGATGACGAGTGCAACATGAAGCTGCGTCCGAGCGACGTGGAGAACTGTGACGCAGGTGTGTGCACCAAGAGCTGGTTCTTCAGCGACTGGAGCGCACAGGTGAGTCTCGCTCGTGTCTGTGATCAGGTGTGTGTCGCTGGGTCACTGTGATGAACGTGTGTGTGTGTGTGTGACGCAGTGTTCGGCGGACTGTGGCGCGGGGGTGCGGACACGCAGCGTTCAGTGCCTCACCAATCACATCAGCAGTCTGCCTCTGGAGCGCTGCGGGGCCCAACGGCCCCCCGAGGCCCAGCCCTGCAACAACGGCCCCTGTGAGAGCCGCATGGAGTGGTTCACCGGGCCCTGGAGTCAGGTACGACTGCCACGCTAGTTCATGCATCTACTGTGTGTCTGATGGTGTAGATCAGGGTTTATTAAACTGGGGTTCGTGAGTTAATTATTTTGTCAAATTAAAAAAAAACATTTTTAAATAAAACAATCAAAATAAAATACTTACTAAAAATTAGTTGAATCATAAAATGCAGAATTAAAATAAATGATTTTTATATTAAAAAACAATCACAATAAACGCTTACTAAAAATGTATGAAAATGCAAATTTAATATGAACAATATTAAAATAAAAACTATTAAAATAAATATTAATAATGAATTAAATCACATAAATGCTAAACTAAAATAAGTTTTATTTAAATAAAACCGAAGTAAACACATGTTAAAAATGTATTTAATCATAAAAATGCCAAATTCATATTAAATTCATTTTAAAATAAAAACGTTAGAATAAAACACTTACTAAAACTTAAACATTTAAAATGCTAAATTAAAATGTAATAGTTTATCAAATGAGACACTTACTAAAAATTAAATAAAGAATTCAAAAGTAAAATAAGTGATTAATTTTAAATAATTATTTAAATTAAATTAATATAAAACTATCACAATAAACACTTACTTAAAATGTATTAAATCATAACAATACAAAATTAAAATGTGTGTGTGCATGTGTGTGTTTGAGTGTGTTTGAGTGTGTGTGTGTGTGTGTGTGTGTGTGTGAGAGAGAGAGTGTGTGTTGTTCGTGTGTG